GTTTTCCCATCCACTTTCAAAACGTTTTTTAAAAGGTTTGTTGCGTCTCTACCCTCCTGTCAAAACTCCTGTCATTCCCTGGGACCTTCCTCTAGTTCTTCGCCAGCTCACGAGGAAACCCTTTGAGCCACTCGCAATTTGCGATATGAAATGTCTGTCATGGAAGACGGCCTTTTTGGTTGTTGTCACCTCTGCAAGGCGAGTTGGAGAAATACTGGCTTTCAGGCATGACACGCCATACTTGTCCTTTTTGCCAGACAGCATACGCCTCGTACCTGACATCTCGTTCCTGCAAAAGGTAGTATCAGAATTCCACCTACAGGCACCTACAGGCAGAGGTCTTCCTCCCGGATTTCTTCCCGGCTCTGACATCCTCAGAGGACAGACTGTTCCACACCTTTGATGTGAAGCATGCGCTCCTGTTCGATCTGAACAGAACCCGTCCGATGAGACGTGATTCCCAACTATTCGTCTCGTACGTACCATCAAGGCTGGGGACTCGCATCACGGCTCAGTGCCTCTCAAGGTGGATTGCGGGTCTCATCCACCTCTGTTACCTGGTTGCCAAATAGCCATTGCCCAGCCCTATCAGGGCTCATTCAACTCGAGCTATTGCAGCTTCAACTGCCTTCCTCCAGGGAGTGCCCCTGACGGACATTTGCAAAGCCGCTACGTGGGCCATGCCTAACACCTGTATCAGGCACTACGCCCTAGACGTCCGCAAAAACTCAAAAAACCAACATGGGACGTCGCATTCTATCTTCAGCTACGCAGTAAAGGACCTGCCAGCACCCTTCTCCAGGTTGGCCACTGCTCGCTAATCTCCCATGAGTGTGAAGCACAGAGACCATGTTGAAGATAAACAGGTTGCTTACCTGTAACTGGTTATCTTCGAGTGGTCATCTGTGCATTCACACCACCCGCCCTCCTGCCCTGCTGCTGCCAGCTTCTACAATTTCAATAGGGGTTGATTTGCGGCGGTTTGAAGGAACTGGTGGGATGTCCGCGCCCTCCCCTCTGGGCATGTGCGGTGGGGTTCCTGTGCATGCCCGAGGTCTGGGCGCGGAAATCCGTTAAAAGAGCTTGCTACAATGCCGATCGATCCAGCGCTTGCGCACTGGATCCCATGGGTGTGAATGCACAGATGACCACTCGAAGATCACCAGTTACAGGTAAGCAACCTGTTTTTACATTGCCTATTATTGCAACAGTCCAGACTATGAAACAAAAAACATATACTTTAGGGGGGTTTATTACCACTTTAGAATGCTGTACAGATCTGTTGATTTTTATAGAATAACCATCCAGGCTAATCAAACCTGGCCATACTGTGAATGTACATGTTCATGTAAAATAGATTTCCCACAATGTTTTAGAAAGTCAAGGCCAGGAGCCTTGTGTTTTGTGTTATATGATACGGCATTTTAAAGGGGAGACAGAAGAGCAGTATAATGTCCTCAGTGGCAACAGTAAGCAAATAAATATGGACAGAATTCCTTTTGCAATGAAACCACAGAAAGACATAGACAACAGTAATATTACCAATCAGTTCAGTGATAAAAATTACTGAATGCAGCAATAGTAAAGCAAAAGACACTGTTATGAGGCAATCTGTAGCATTTTGTAGTTCTGCAAAGGGTTTTCCAGTCTCATTTGGGTGTTACTGGAGATTCTTTCAGTAGTTGAAAACTTCAGGAATTTGGAAGCATCCTTCCTCACCAGGGCTGTCTTATTCATTCAGTATGAACGTCAAAATCCTTAGTGAATCTTCACTACAAAGATACCTGTTCATGTGCACATTGCTGTACTTATATGCAAAAAAAGAAAGAACAGTAAAAAGAGTTGATGTATATAATCTGTTAAATGCTTTGCTGTCAGTTTATATGGAAAACAGATTTGCTTTACTGATAGAGTAAAATGCACTCTCTAGCCTTTTCTAAGAGAAAGTTTATAGACAAGTTTGAGTAACAGCTATTTGGTTTATTGAAACATTTTACTTCATGGTAAATGATAACTTCTCTCTTTCTTCCTTCTCTAAAAAAATTAACAGAAAGTAGACTTCAGTTTCAGACGTCCCCCCAAAATTGTCTCAGACCAGCATTCTCAGTGCTTAGACCATTGCTTAGATACACAAGCATAAGTGCATTGCTGGGGTGTGTAATTTAATTGCATTAATTTCAAGCAGTCCATAAAGCTGAACTGCTTTAAAGCTTCCTTCCAACTGCAAGCCTCATTGAGTTCATGTTTATACAGCGGCAGTTCTTGATGGGAGAGAGGTTCTTATTACTAGCCTTCAGTCTGGAAGATGAAATAATAAATATTCTAGAAGTTTATTTTGTAAGGTGCTTTAATAGTATGAATCTACATTTGTTCTGTTCACCTTATCTGGTTTGTATTTAACTTGTTTCAACACTGCTCTGATATTTATTGCTGGCCTACCTTATGGTTATGGTGTTACTGCTTTGTTGAAAATGCTATCGCTATAATGGTTTAGATTCTGGCCATAATAATTAACTCACAGCGAGAAACCAAAGCACAAGAACGATAATGGTTTAATACTGTTTGCAGTATTGTGATACAAATGTCACATGCCTATGTTAGAATGCCTTGAAATTCTTTAGCCGTTATACTTTTTCTAGGAAATACCTACTTCACAACATTTAACAGGTATTGTACATTTTCCATGTAACAGCAAGAATAATAAGACATGGAAGATGTATGATTGGGCTCTCCTGTGCTGTTTTTCCAGAGGCAAAATTTGCTGCCCCCCCCCCTTCCCTGTGTCAGAAAGGCATTTGCAACAAATCTTGACTTAAAAAAAATTCCTCATAGTCATGGGCCTCTTACATTAGGTATAATTTTGCAACATTTTTTGTTGTTGAGAGGCCTTTCATGCTTTTTAGTTGTGAACAGAAGTTTCAAAAGCAAATGAAGCTACAAAATTGAAGCCAGATAATAGCTATATGGCACAAAAAGAGCCCATCTATCTAGTACAAGGTTTTCTTTTTAATTCCAAGTCTACTTTTTTTGTTTTCTATTCTGTAGATTGAGAGCCTGTGAGCACAGACCATTTTATTCCTTATTGCACGTAGTATTCATTAGGTGCTTTTATACAAAAATAAAGATAATGAAGGGTCTGACACATGAAGCTGCCTTATACTGAACCAGACCCTTGGTCCATCAAGGTCACTATTGTGTACTCAGAGACTGACAGCAGCTCTCCAAGGTCTTTCACATCACCTACTGCGTGGTCCATTTAACTGGAGGTGTCAGGGATTGAACCTGGGATCTTCTGCATGCCAAGCAGATGTTTTGCCACTAAGCCACAGCCCTTCCCAAATCCAATCCAGCGGGAGGTCTTCACCCACTTAAATAGGTTTCTGCACACAGATTTTGTTCCAGATTGGGGGCCACTAATTTGAAAGGGGGGTACAATGCTGGCATTTCTTTTGTGCCCCCGCCTCCAGAAAAACCAACAACAACCTCAGTCTGTTTTTGTAGCAGCCAGAAGTATAGTGGGGGGGGGTGTTGGTGTTTTGTGTGAAAAATCTGTGCTTTTAGGAAGGAACAGGGAAGACAGGACCTAGATTCTAAAATAATAATAGCTATTTTCTTAATTTTAATCTAATTCATATATTGAAAAAAATGGTTCATTTCAGGACAAGCATCAAAATCTGAAATGAGATGCTGCCTTTACAAGCACTAGACTAGTATATTGTTTGGAATACAACTTTGGCAAGTCAAAGCATGAGCCTTTAAAAGGTTTAGAATTACACACTTTTACTTAGTATGTATGTTTATTTCTTTTAAATGGGCAGTAATCTGAACTAATGCAGCAGCTAGATTCGAGTCCAGTAGCAATTTAGAGACCAACAAGATTTTTCAGATATAAACTTTTGAGAATCAAAGTTCCCTTTGTCTCTAAGGTCCTATTGGACTCAAATCTAGCTATTCTACTGCAGACTAACATGGCTACCCTCTAAAACTAATGCACCATTGTTAAGCTCATTTGGGAGTCCTACTGAAAATGGAGCTGGATTAAAAGAAATAGGATTGGGTTGTAAATAGATGCAGAAGGAAAATACAAGTTGAATATGTCCTTGACAAAAAAAATCTTAATTTCACTACATGCAGTTTTTTAAAATGTACTTATTAGAAAAAATAGCATGTTGAAATTTGTACTAAAACCTGTCTTACGGTAGATGTAACAAAAATATACTTACTCTGTATTTCTTCCAGCCATCTCTGAGTGCAGGGAGCATCACTGAAGCAAGGGGCAATTTCACTTGCTACTAATTTTCCTCCTCTCTACAACCTTCTCAGTTGCATGGCTTTTTATTTGTCAGGGTCCCGCAGTCCCTGGAATCACCTTTTCAGTATTCACAGGAGGTTGCTGGGGGATGGACAAAGATGGAAAAGAACCACCTCTGCCTGCACTTTCCATTGGCAATATTTATTTTTAATTTTATTTATTTAAAACATTCATTAGCTGCCTTCCCCCTTTATGGAACTCAAGGCCTTGAGTTTGGTTTGGTGTAGTGGTTAAGAGTGGCGGACTTTAATCTGGAGAACCAGGTCTGATTCCCCGCTTCTCCACATGAAGCCTGTTGGGTGATCTTGGGTCAGTCACAGTTCTCTCAGAACTCTCTCAGCCCCACCTACCTCACAGGGTGTCTGTTGTGGGGAGAGGAAGGGAAGTAAGCTGCTCTGAGAACTCCTTCAGGTAGTGAAGGGCAGGGTATAAAAATAAATTCTTCTCCTTCTTCCCATTAGAGCTGTACATGATCTCTTTCATGAATACTGGAAATAATTCTTTGAAGACCAGCACCAGTGAATAAATAGAAAATATAGTGCATGTGGCACACATCAGGGCATAAAGAATATAAAATGAAAAGTTCTATTGTAAAGGCATGACCATTTTAGCATCTTGTCTATCACCATAATAATTTTTATAGAGTGTTGCAGTTTTTATTTAAATGTCAGGGATTTTGTTTTTTCAGCCACACTGTGTGCTACTTGCCTCAAAGGAAAATTCAGCACCTGTAAAACTTGGAGGTTTTGGCGTTGCTATTCAATTAGGGGAATCAGGACTCGTAGCTGGAGGTAAGAAATGGCTATGTTTCATTCCCTGTTGCTCAGATTAAGTATTTTCTCCCTTGGATCTTCACCCTAGCTAAAAGCTTTTAAAGATAAATTCAGGATCAGCTATAGAAAGTGGCTCGTCTATAGAAAAGCAAGAAAAATCTAACTGTGAAACTTGAATTTTCTGCAAATGAACACAGTAATTTAGTCTGCATGTGCAAATGGCATTCTGAAATCAGTAGAATGTAAGTAATTAACCAGCCATTCTGTAGACTGTCTCAGTGTATACTGTAAGCTGATTTAATGATTTAATTATTATAATGTACTGGTAACAGCTTAAAACATTTCTGCAGATGCAGTGTAAACAGGGAGGGAAGAGGGACACATCTTACCAGGTCCATGCCTTACTAGCCCCTTCAAGGTTGGAGTCCAGTGGCACCTTTAAGACCAATAAAGTTTTATTCTAGGTGTGAGCTTTCATTTGCACGCACACTTCCTCAGACACATTGCACACGAAAGCTCACACTTTGAATAAAACATTGTTGGTCTTAAAGGTGCCACTGGACTCAAACTTTGTTCTGCTGCTTCAGACCAACACAGCTACCCACCTGAATCTAGCCCCTTCAAGAAACTGTTTCCATGAAATCTGTTTCTTAGTGATACCTGAGCATGGCATTGCAAGATTGTGACAAAGACTTTACCCTAAGCATATTGCGTTTATACTCAGCAAAGGCCCATCAAATTTAATGGATGAGAGCAAAGTGCAGAGTTCCAATCTTCTCTCTAGTCTACTCTCATACCTCTGCTCTTTGTCACTGAAGCCATTGTATCAAGCAGAGCAAGGGTTGTGGCTGTGTTCATTTCTAAAAAGCTGCCTCTGTCCCCCTGTTCCTGTATGGCCTCTAATTCTTGAGGATGAAATAAAGAATGCTTCCGCCCAATCCAGAAATAATCTTCCCTTCCTTACTGGACTGTGCTCATTTACATTCCTGAACATGATTTTTTTTTGGGGGGGGGGGTTGCAATGGGGGAGAGAGTTGGATACACACTGCCTGGCCATCCAACTTTGCAGTTTCTTCAAGAAGAAGGAGAAGGTCATTGTTTATTAATTAATTGATTGATTGATTGATTTGATTTATATACTGCCCTCCCCGTAAACGGGCTCAGGGCAGTTTACATCAATTAATATAATTAACTCACCCTCCCCCAGACTCCTACTTAGTGACTTGTTCACTCAATATTATGGTACACAGGTTATGCCATAGGCATGAATAACTCCCATGCAGTTCTATGGAAGACTGTAAAGACACAAACTCAGAGAACAATTGTAGGGGGAGGCTAACTGACCTCGGCAACCTGATGATTTCAGTATCTGGAAAGAGAAGCAATTTTTACCCCCTTTCAATTGTGTCTCACCCAGTTGGTTTGTTTCTTGGAGATGAATGGAACCCTTTAAGAGCCAATGCAGCCCCTATCTATCAGTATCTGCCCTGCGATCTTATTTCTTGGTTATTTAAGGTGTATATAGAATGTTAGGTGAGTCTATATATAGTGTATAACTAAAGCACAAGCCTGTGTGCGAGTGCATGCTGATTCCTAGTGCATGCTGTAGCCATATCTTGGGGAAAGAATCTGTGACAGACTTTGGTTGTAAAATGTAGTCAGCTAATATTTTTGTGTGTGTTAATGCCCAGGTTATTAAAATTTAACTTGTATTACTGTACCACAAACTTAGTGTGCCACCCTTGAAAACTGAAGTTGTTTTGTATTTTCCTTTAGGACGGGTAGGAACACCTCATTTTATGGCCCCAGAAGTAGTAAAAAGAGAGCCTTATGGAAAGCCTGTAGATGTGTGGGGCTGTGGAGTGATTCTTTTTATTCTGCTTAGTGGTTGTTTGCCTTTTTATGGAACAAAGGAAAGGTTATTTGAAGGCATTATCAAAGGAAAGTATAAGGTAAGTGGTAGCATACATGTCTGCATTTCTCTGAAGAAAAAACTGTTATATTTCTATAAAATATTTCTGTGGAAAATGTCTTTGTGTATGAAAGCAGTGATGGCGCTGGAATGTCCTTCCTACAGTTGCTAGCAGAGTAGTATATATAAATTAGCACAACCCCCCCCCCCCAGGTGTATGAATCAGAGCTGCATCTCTGAGAGTAGTTCTGCACACTTGAACACTCTAGCGGTTTCTGTATTAATGCTGTGCACAGGCATAAAGCTCATCAGTGTGCATGCACAGATGACCACTCAAAGAAGAACAGTTACAGATGAGCAGCCTGTTTTTCTGCAGGTGCTGCTCTGCTAATGCCAAACAGGAACCAAACCAGTGCAGCAGAAATGACTGGAAAGTGAGAAAGTTCATGAGAAAGACGCAGTGTGAAGGGTAGCACATAAATCAAAGGCAGAAAGCGGTATAGGAATGATGGAAAGTCAATTTGCATATTACACAAAGCAAAACTGGTTTCCCATTGACTGTATACTTATACTATTCATGTGTTTATCATTAAAACATAAGAGTCCTGCTGGATCAAATGAAAATGCAGAATTCTGCTGAGGCTAGCCAGGTGCCTCTGGGAAGCTAGTAATCAGAAGACAGTACTGCTTCCCTGTTGTTGTTTCCCCTCCTCTGATATTCTTAGTAGGACGAACTAAGCCTATATTGGCTATCATTACTTCTGTGTGCCAGCTTAATATTCTGGTATGCATTTTACAATGCCCGAAACCCAATTTGGGATAGCCAATGAGCTAGTCAGCTATGTGCAATAATTGAGTCATCCATAAATTTAGAGACCTGAGAGATAGGATTTTTAAGTTAGTTGAGAAATTTTAATGTTTCAGAAGCAGGATCTGCCCATGGTTATCTATGTGTTGATCACATCTAGATTAACATGCACTCTGTGTGCACCTTTGAAAATGTTTCAGAAGGCTCTGTTCATAATGCCACAGCAAGGCTGCTGACCAGTAGTGTTTTAAAAGAGCCTCACTGGATGCCTGTTCACTTCCAGGCAAAATTGAAAGTGCTGGCTTTAAAGTTTTAAATGGCTTGGGACCAGAGAGCTGAAACGGCCACCTGCTCCCTGCTCCCATATGAACCTGCCCAAGTATTGAAATGATCTGTGACTGGACCTTTAGTGTCTCCTGTCATTAAAAGTGAAGTGAGTAGCCTCTTCTATGTTGGCACCCTATCTGTAGAGCATCCTCCTCATCGGTACCCAATATTTTCAGTGTCAGGCATTAGGACAAGGTTCTGTCAAGGAGGGGCTTTGGCTCACTGGCAGAGCATCTGCTTGGCATGCAGAAGATCCAAGGTTCAATCCCCAGCATATCCAGTTAAAAGGATCAGGTAGGACATGATGTGAAAGGCCTCAGCCTGAGACCCTGGAGAGCTGCTGCTGGTCTGAGTAGACAATACTGACTTTGATGGACCAAGGGGCTGATTCAGTATAAGGGCAGCTTCATGTGTTCATGTGTTTACTAAGACCTTTGATTAATTTTGTATATATTTAGGGAATTTTTATGCCACCTCTCCAGAGAACTGCTGAAGAGGCATACAAATAAAAACAATACCAAAAACCCCACAAAACAACATAAATTATTAATTCAAAAAACAAGCCAGGGGCATAAAAACCGCTTAAAATAACCATTGAACAGCCTAAAAAAATCTGTAGAACAGGCTAGAAGCTGACCATAAAACAGCTAAAACAATAAAACTGCTTAACTAAAAGCCCAAACAAGAAGTAATGCTTTGTTCTGGTACTTAAAAAACAATATGGTAATCCACCTTGAGTCTCTGTGAGAAATGTGGGCTATAAATAACATAAATAAATAAATGATAGGTTCTAGGGGAGCCTCTATGGGGAAGACATTCCAAATGTGAGTTGCCACCACTGAAAATACCCTGTCTCTATTTTCAGTCCTCCTTACATGTGTGGGTAGGGGCACAGAGAGCAGGGTTTGGGAGGCAACTTATGAGTAGGTTTTTAACTGAGATGTTACTGCGAGTTGGTTTACTGTTGACATATATTGTGTATTGATTTTTACATCTTTTTAAATTGTTTATAGTTTATTGAATTTATTATTGAACTGTGATTTTGTGCATTTTTCTGAAAGCTAGCCTCAAAAGTCTGAGGGGCAATGTCTAAATGTCATTGATTATAGCCAAATGACATTGATCCTCTATTAATTTGTTCTCACTTTTTAAAGAAAGCCATCACCACTTCATGTGGCAATGAATTCCATGTAGATAAAATGGCATTGTATAAAATATTCTGTTTTTCTTCTGAATTTATTGCCAATCTATTTTGTTGTGTGTCACTGAGTTCTAGTAGTATAAGATAGTGGAGAAATGTATCCCCTCTTGCCACATCATTCATAATTATATAAACCCATATTAGAGTTGACACATTTTGGCTGGCTTTGTAACAAGCCAAAACTTCTGTTGCCAGGATGTTCACTAGTCCTGCAGTGGAGAGAGGTAGTGTCTTGTCTGTGACAGTGTGCTGATCTTCAAGTGTTACATGAAGTCCCCTGCCCCCTTTCCCAGCTCCATGTTCAGAAGGAGGGTTGGAGCACGCAGTGCAACATGGCCATCTTCCCATCCCTCCTGTAGAGTTTGAAACTATGGAAGGGAGCAAAATAATATCCCTAAAAGTCAGGCTGTGCTTTGGAGGCTCTCCAGTCCCCCAATTCAGTCTCTGGGATTTGTCACACTCACCAGAGGCAGGAGAGAATCTCACTATAGTTAACTTGACAAGCAGATTTATGAACTTCTGTCGTCTCTTTTCCTGTTGTTGTTACATCCATACTTTATGCATTTCGGTGACAGGTAAAATACTTTAAAAAGCAATGCATTAAGTTGCTCTAAAAGACAATTTAGTTTTCTGCAGAATAAATACTGAAGCTTGCAATAGAGTTCTCACACCTGTGCCATTTAAAACTCTTTTAATTTTGGGTAATATGCAGTGATTTTGCAAGAACTAAAACAAATCCACCTACAATATTTATGAAAGACCAAAAGCCCTGGGGATCAAGACAAACATAGAGTTCTCACATTAATGGCAATAGCATAAATAAGAGCTTTTCTTTTTTTTTTGGCCCCCTGAAGGGGAATTTTTTATTTGCATTTCTATAAAACTACAACAGAAATTGGGGAGGGAGAGTCTACAATCTATAGAAGAAAGTAAAAAGAACCTAACTAAAAACCCAAGAATGGAGGTTTTACAATGCTTAAAACATAGTTGTTACTCTTATACAGTTACCTTCACACATGAAGAGTGCCTGCCAATCGTCGCTTCTGCTGACTAAACCAGCTTATCTGACTGAACAGAGAGTAATTCCAAAGCTATAACACACATAATCACAGCCCTTAATTAAAAAATAGCATCTCCACACTTTACTCCCCCCCCCATAGGCAAGATCTTTATAACCAATGTGTACAGGTCTTTGCCCACCCAAGCCAGTTCAGGAATTCGAGGGAATCCTGTACTTTTCAGTACATTAAACAACAAGCCACGAGACAGTCTGTACCATCTCTGGTCTTCACAACAATTTGCCACCAGAACCTCTTTTCACTAGTCCCTGCCTTTCCTAAGGGAGAGATTCCAAACCCTTAGTTGGCATCTGGGAGAGAACACCTTAGCAACTCATTCCAGAGATGCACACTTTTTACCAAGGTAGCGTATGGGTTGAGTGTTTAGGCCACAGGATTTAGCCTTGGAATTCAGGTACAACATCAGAAACCATTTAACAATCAGAAGGATCTTTATTCAGTACAGAGATTAGCATAGACTACCAGAGATTACAAAATAACAAAGGCTAGGGCGGTTTGCCTTAACTAAACATTAATGATTCATAGTTACCAAGTCAGAACATCCACAGTTCCAGATAGTCCAAGTACCAAGGGATTTTGAGTAGAAATCCCACCCTTGCACCTATGTGCTCCAGTTCACAAAGCAACTCTTTGTCTCTCACGAGGCAGCATTTCCAGGTGCAATAAAACAGGCAGCAAGAGGAAGAAGGGAGAGCTAAGCAAGAGAGCAGCCAGAGCAAGCAAGCGACTCACTCCCATAGTGATCGATCAATTATAGCCCAATTCCAGTCACAATTAGCCGTGGCCATCAGCCAACTGCGAGTGGGCATGGGTGTGGGGATAGGCTAGAAGTTTGGAGCCCTGCCTGCAGTCAGGTGACCCAAACTCCAGCTACTTCATGGTCTATGTGACTAGTCGCATGTGGGCCAGAAAGAGTAGCCATGAGGTCTGGCGTTTGGCATGGAAATGTGAAAGAATGTGGGTTATTGAGGCCATGTGGCCCCCACCATTTGGCTTGCAACAGGAAACAAGACACAGCATGTTATCAAAAAGACATTAAGCTAACATATACACTTCCCCTTAATTTGTTCCGTTAAGCAGAAGTAGACATTTGGAAAACCCATGAGGACTTGTGGGGAGGTCTCATTTTTCCACATCCTCTCTCTCTCTCTCTTGCTTTTCCTCTTTCCATCTCCTGACGGCACTTGCAGCCTCTCCCCTACTTATCTCCCCCAATTTTCATCTTTCCTTCCCAGTGGCAGCCCCTTTCCTTTCCTCTCCCACTCACCTACCTTGTTCCTTTTCTCCCTTGGCCCAGTCATTCTCCTCTCCCCCCCCCCAATTTCTTCTTTTCCCTTCTTCCCCATCTTCAGCTTTCCCTTTTTTGCTCCTGTCCAGCTTTACCCTTTCTTCCTCCTATCTTTGACCTTTTTACCACCACCCCCGCAAACGGTAACTGAACCTTAGAAACCTCAGCAATGTTAGCTTGAGGTTGCCAGGATCTCACAGCATAGTTTCATGACTCCACAATGGCATACTTTTCTTGAAGAAGTAGAATTATTTTAACCCTTTTTTTTACAATCCATATTTTATGCAAACCTGAGGCTTCTCCCAGGCTTGTTTAAAAGAAAACACCTTTTCTGTCC